CTGGAGAATCCACCCAGCAAGCTGGTCATCGTCATCGCTGGGTTTTCTTTTGGAAACAGGTCCTGGGCCTCACCTCTTGATGCACTGGCCTGCAAGCCAGAGGAGACTGGAGTGCTTTGGGTTGCTTGGGTTCAGCTTGTTCATAAGCCGAAGGAAAGTTATGTGGATTCTAAGAATAGAGACAGCGTTGCTGTCCCCTTGTGTTTGCAGCCAGAGTAAAGAAATAGAAGCTGAGCTAAGTCGCCTTATGGGACATGTGTTGGGGGTGGGTGAAGAGAAACCCCCTAGTATCCTACTGCCCTAGTTAAAACTCTTCTCTAGAGCTCCACTGCTGGTCAAGGTCCCCTCCTTCCCCTCCCCCAAAGCACAATGTTCTGCTTGAAAACCCAGTTCTTTCAGTGATTCCCTATTTCAAATAAAAGGATTTAAGTTGACGTATGACCACGTGAGCACATAATACAGCACATTATTGTGGCATTTGGAGCGGAGACCCAGGCGGGCTTCGCCTGTGATTACGTTTACTAGATTCTCTACAGAGCGAGAGCTCCCCCCCCCCCACGCACCCACCTCCTCCTTCTCCTTCCCCTTCTCCGGAGAGCGCGCTCCTAGCGGGTTGCAGTTTTCAGCGCTCATGGAGTGGTTCTGGGCAAGCTAGCCGGCTGGGACTCAAGGCTACACCAGGAGGATGGAATTTATTTTAAGGTATTTCCGCTGATTGTTCATATTGAGAGTGAGTTATGGCTGTGAGAGACAAAGGTCAGGCCAGGAGACCCCGCTTCACCGACAGGACCCTCAACCCTTCTCTTCCTTTGTTTCTCCGTTAGAACCGAAACCCGGTGGAAAGCTCCCCAGTAGCGCCTCACACCCAGTTTAATTTCCTGGAAAGTGTTGAGAGTGTGTAAAGGAAGGGGCACCTAGGGGCTCCTAGGTGGGCCCAGCGCTTTGTTCAGGGCAACGGGCAGGGCTAGAGTCCTGGCAGCCAAGCCCTGGCGGAGCGGGGATCCTGAAGGGGCAGCCGGCAAGGTGGCCGGGGGCGGGCAGGGCGGGTAGGCTAGCTCCGGGCCAAGGCTGCGCGTGGAGGGGTGGGGGTAGGGTAACTGAGCTGGGCCATTGCCCCCCGGGTGGCGGTGTTGGCTGCTATGGACGCTAGGGCTGACCTGGGCAGCCAGAGCAGCTGGGAGAGGGAGATCAATGAGTGTGCAGAGGCGCTGCCATTTTATTGATGATGCTTTGGGCCACTTTGTTCAGTGCCGGTTGCAAGAGGTGCTTTCCTATACCCCCCAGAGTGAAGGAGCCAGCCAGGACGTGGTGGGGATGAGCCATTGTTTCCCAGCACCCTCTTCCGCGTGGGGGTGGAGGACAGCGCAGGTCTTGGGGAGGCCCGCTTGGGCCAGCACGGCGGGTCCCTGGAAGCTAACTTAGTCTAAAAAATCTGGGAGATTGAGGAAAGAGGAAGGAGGCCGTGTGAGCTGGGTTTGGGCTTCTTTGAGCAACCTACTTGCGCACCCTTCGGCGGGTTCAGAGTTAAGGGGTGGTCCGGAGGGAAGCGCTAGTCGAACGGGCTAATGGCAGGAAGCAGCGGCTGACTTGGCCCAGCCCGACCCAGCCCGAGGAGCAGGCGGCCGCGCTGCAGCCAGCAGCCAGGCAGACCGAGCTCAGTCGTGCGCTTCCAAACGACCGGGGATGGCCCAGCTAATTGGGCTTTGGGGACCCAGCATGAGTGGGGAGGATGGAAACTCCCTGGAAAGGTGCTGGAAACTTTGCTTTCCTCTGCCCAAAGAGCTTTTCGAGCAGAGCAAAGGGATGTCCAGGAAGAGTCGAATTGGTCCCCAAATTTTAAGGGGAGGTTAAATTTCTGTTACCCCTCCCCTTCCCGAAGTCGGGCGTTAAAATAAAATCTGGCTTCTCCTCCTTGAATGAAATTTACTTTCCCACAAGGCAAGGGTGGCCGCTGCCTCCCCCCAACCCCCCACCACGGGCCTGGGCCTCTCACAGTGCCTCACTGAGGCCATTTCAAGTGCCCTAAAACACCCCTTGGAAATAAAATGTAAGCTTTAATTGCTGTTCAATTACTTGTCAGCATTTCATATGATTTATGACCCAGTTCTGGCGCATTTTTGACCCAGTTAAAGACTCATAAATAATATAGTTTCACTAGAAAGAATGAGAGGGAATAGAGGTTTGTTTAAGGCATCTTTTTATTGTCGCTTCAGTGCCAGCACGTGGAATAAATGCCTAAGGATGTGCTCTGGAGCCGGTGGGGTATAAAAGTGTGCACAGCCAGAAGTCTGCAGTTGCATTTATAGAGCACCGCTTGGTATTTCTTCTAAACAGACCGCTAAGGCTACTCACCTTTCCAGATTAACTAGCGCTAGCAAAGAGGCAGCTTACCCACACCGGCAAACCTGCATCCTCATTGGTTTCCCTTCTTTTCTGGGGCTTCCCTGCCTCTTCTTGCCAACAATTGTTCCTTACCTTCCTCTCGGGCTGCACAGGGTCCCCGGAGACTGGCTCCCTGGGAGCCGCTGTGAAGGGTGGAATGGCTGCAGGGTCTCTGGGCTCTTCTTAGCCCGCCAGCGTTAGGGAAATGTTTTCTTTCGATCCACCCGACCCAGACAGGAGGGGAGCATGGGATATGGGGAAAAAATTTCAGGGGCCCGGGGCAATCTCTCCCTAAAGAAAATCTCAGAATTTTGGGGGTAAATCTTCGGGCTTTTGCCTAGAAAGGGCAGAGTGGAGAGTCATTTCTAGTGGTGCAAATGGAAAGGTGGTAATTTCCACCCCAAAGCAGTGATAAACAAACAAATGAGCTGACCTTAAGCTACAGTAAATGATCACGTCTCAGTCACCTCCCAACCTATCTCCAAAAGCCAGGCCGCTGGTTTGGGGCAGAGCGATCCAAACGTAGGCAGCCAGGGTGTCAGGACCCTCACTTCTGTCACAGCAGCAGCCACCACGGTGGGCCCCATCGCCCACCCCAGCTTCTCCTCCGCTCCCAGCTCTTGGGTGGCGGGTCCAGCCCTCCGCGTTTGGACCCCCACACAATGACCGCCCGGGTGTGAGCCCCGGATGCCCCAGCTCTCACCCTCTCACCCCGCCCTCGGCCCTGGCTACCCGGGCAGGTTCTCACGGAGAGCTGGCCTTCCCTGCAGCTGGCTGAGCGAGCAGGCGGTGAGTCGCGTCAGCAGTTTGGAGGAGAAAGTGCGGGTTGATTATTGACCCACGCCTTCTTTCTTTAAATGCCACATGCGACCCGGCCGGTTTGAAGAGAAAATGCCGCCGAGAGGATTTTTGCGGCCGGCTCTCTCCTCCTACGCGGCCCGGGCTCCCCCTTTCAAGTTGTGCGGCCGCAATCTGCCATAAGGAGCAAGTGTTTGCTGTTTTGTGCTCTGTTTACAGCTTTGGGGCGGCGAGTCATAAATCTTGCCCAGCCATAAATGACAAAAACCATTGGTATGCATGAGGCCACCCTGGCCCGGAGTGCTTTTTGATTTCTCCCTTTTCCCCTGGCTTTGTTTTTGCTCTAAGGTGACACTTTGGCTCCCTGACAGTTTAAACACACTACTTTTATTTTTAACACCTTCCTTTGAGAAGGACCGGCCGTTGACACCTTGGAATTGCATGAAAGCCTTCTCTCTCTCTCTCTCTCTCTCTCTCTCTCTCTCTCTCTCTCTCTCTCTCTCTCTCTCTCTCTCTCTTTCTCTGCCACACATCCCTTGCGGAGTTGGCAGTGAAATGTGGGGAGTTGTGGGCGGTTTCAGAAGGAACAAGCCCGGTGCCCCCAGGAAAGTTGTGGTGAGATGGAGACAGGAGGTTGCGCCCGCGGCAGGCCGGGCCTGGGCCCTGCAGACCGCATAACTCGGTGTGGAGGAGCCTGTGTACCAGGTGTGCGCGCCTGGGGCTCGGGGCCTCTGTCTGCCTGTCTGTCTCGGAAGTGAGGTCCGCTCCTGTGCTGTGAAATGGGCACAAAACGGCCTGTGAGCCAAGTTTCTGGATCCCCTTGTTGGTGATCTGAGTGAGCCCTGTGCGTCCTTTCCTGGCGGGACAAACGCCCCATTTCCGCGCCTGCCCGCTCCCGCTCAGATGCCAGAATTTCAAGGGGTTCGGTCTCAAAGCACAACCCCAGACAATCCATCTCTAGAGGTGGGGGGGGGTTCCTATGCCAGTCCCCCCACCCCAAGACTGGCTGAGAGGTTCTTGGAGCAGGCCAGCGGATGAGGTCAACTGGCCAAAGTCCGTGCAATTCTCTTCTCCCGCGTCTCTCGCTCCCCAACTGCAAATGTCCAAGCTGGACAGTTGCGTGGTTTCACGAACCCATTCCTAAGAAATAGAGGCCGGTCCGAGAGCCCCTTTGTGAGAGTCGATTGTCCTCATTAGCATAATTTTCCTGGACTTCAGAGACGCCTCGGAGCGAGCAGAGGGAGGGCGGGCTGAGCTGGGGGTGCCCTCCTCCCGCCCCGCCGTCGAGCTCCCCCTCTCGCTCGGGTCCCTCCCCTCCCCTCGGCCCCATCCCCCGCGGCCGGCCCGCGCTTCCCCGGCCGCCTCGGCCTCCCGCCCCCAGCAACCCCCCCCCAGCCCCCCGTCACCGCACCCCCCGACCAGACGCGGCTCCGCGTGTAATATTCATAAGAAACATACCCAAGTCGGTGCCACTAGCCCAGGCAGCGCCCCGCGCCGCGCCAGCGCTTATCTCCGGGCCGCGGCTGCTGCCCCCGGGAAGGGCAGGGGGCGGGGGTGTGGGGGAGGGGAGGGTGGGTGGGGTGGGTGGGAGGGGGGGGTCCCAGCCGCCCCAGTCCGCCCTGGGCGAGCCGCGCCGGAGCAGCGAGGCGGCCACGCTCCGCGCCGCGGCGTCCGGGCCTCGGGCTGTCCCTCCCGCCCGCCGTGGCGGCCGATGCTGAGGGTCGGTGGCCAGCCCGCGCCGAGGGGACCCGGCCGGGCCGCCGAGCCGGGCCGGGGGCCGCAGGCCGAGGCCGAGCCCGCGGCAGCGCGCGCGGCGCCCCGGAGAAGTTAAGGTAAGCGGGGCCGCCGGCGGCCGCGCCGGGCGCTGAATGGCGGAGTGTACGTCTGGGTGATTTATGGCCGCAGACTTAAATCTCGGTTCAAGAAGAGTTCACAAGCCGGAGCTTCCTTCCCGGCAGTGACTGATACCCTTACACTTCGAGTTCAGGCCGCGCTCCCATCCCCGCCCCCACCCGCCCGCGCCCCCAGCCCAGCCGCAACTTTTCGGGGGGTTGGGGAGGGAGGGGGGAGGAAGGCGGCGGGCCGCGGGGGCTCTGGCCCGAAGTTCCCGCAGAAACTCGGGGTGCGGGCAGGCCGAGGAAGGGGCGGGAGTGGGAAGAGGGAGCGGCGTCTGAAGGCAGGAGGTTCAATTTGGGCTGATCTTCCAGAGAGACAATAGGGCTTGCTTCCTGCTCTCAGTTTAGCCTTCCCAGCCCGCAGCCCAATAACCTGGGGGGTATTGTCCAGAGAGAGTTCTTTCCCGGGGACGCCGGTGTCCTCAGCCCTTGGCTTGGGTTGGGGCTGGGGATAGGGTTGTTGCAAAGCAAAGTTTCCTGGCTGGCAAACCTCCAACTTCTTTACTGGATCGCAAACTTTGGGGGTTGAGTTTGGGGGTGTGGGTGTGAGGGGGAACCAGGTGTCTGTCTGTTGACCTCAAACAATAGGAAAGACGTTGGTGGAATTTCGGAGGTGAATTCTGATTGTAAATTTATGGTGGTGGTTGCATGCACTTTGATTTGAAAAGATAATTTTTGTTATTTTACAAGACAAATGCGCAAATTGATGAAAAGACTTAAGTAAGCAGGCCTTGTAGCTTGTGATAATGGATTAGCTAGTCACTTGAAATATTGCACGCTCAGAATCAACTTAATTTTGTTTTATCTAATATCTTGCTGTTCAAGTGTCTGGAGTAATTTTCTTAACCTGACGTTTTATTTTACACAACCCTAATATCTTAAAATTTTATAATAGCAGACATTAACACTGCCAAATGTAATAGGAACAGTTTTCAGTGAAAGAACAGGAAACAGACATTATTGGGATTCAGTTTTAAATTGTTATTCAGTTTGTTTAATCTTTATTTACTTTTGAACATGGTATCTGTGGTTTCCTATCTATTTCCAAAGGAGAAACAATACTCCAGGGCTCGAGATCACACACAATAACTCCGGATAAGGGACGCTGTAATTTTTAATTGAGGTTCTGGAAAATTAATTGTGCCTGTTTTCCAGATGTTGGTCTGATTGTTGGTTTAATGAAATCCAAAGGATCCTGTTATTAACAACAAAATTATGATCACCCACTGGTTGATGTTTATTCCATTATTTTTTTAATTAACAAAGTATCTTATTTGTGGAATATGTCAGTAACTCTAGGACTCAAATACTCAAATAGGGTCTTTAGTGTAAATTATTTTCTTCATGAATTTGTCATTATGCATTTTAAATGGTCAGAGAGACTAGCATCTCTCTCTCTGTCTCTCTGTTTCTGTGTATATGTGTGTGTGTGTTGTGTGTGTCTGTGTGTGTGTGTGTGTGTTCAATAGACTCACATGGAACTTTTCAGGACAGAATCTCAGGCTGCCTATACCAAAGTTGAAAACAAACAAAATTTACAAGTTTAACTTCTACAAACTACAGTCTGAGTAAAGAGTTGAGAAGGATTTCAATTGCTTTTTAGATTTCTAGGGTTGCCCTTTTGATGTTTCTGAAGCAGGTAAATAGACCAAGTAACAAATATCGACAATAGCAACAGCACACAAAGATCAGGGAACTCGGGCAGGATTTTATGGTTTGTGCTTCCATCCCTCGTCCGGAGCCAAATGACCCCCATACATCAAATTACATAGCAGTTTCTAAGACAGAACCTATTATCGTTAAGTTGGAGGGAGAGTTCAAGCCGTGGTCATGGAGATGAACGCTGGTTTTTCAGGTTCCTGGTGGGTTGTTTTTTTTTTTTCTCTAATCCATCATGTTTTAACAGGTAGAATTTGATAGTTGCCCTGAATAACAGCACCTCAGAAAGTCCAAAGCAGGAGGGTCTGGGGACCTTCTATAACTAGGGAAAAAGAGGTGGGAGTGGCTTGCTGGGACATGCTTGAGAAATAGGGAGAGGAAAGCAGGAAAGAGTTGTCCAAGGCTGGAGTTGTGACTTGCTGGAGGTGGTGTTCTTGTTGGTTCTGCGCAAAGTTTTCTTCCACAGGAGGCTTCTTTGGAAGTGGTGGCTCATATTCTTGCATGAGGCTGGACTAACTGCTTGCCCAGCTCGGCCACTGAAATTCAGCAGAGTCAGTGGGCCAATTGCCCAAAACGTCCCTTGCTCACCTTTTGCGAGTGCTGGTAGATCCAAGAAGGCTGGCTGGGAGGCCCCCACCTATAAGGTTCTTTTGGCAAATGTGAGCCCTGAAATAAGGGTTGGATGAACAGAAATGGGCGACCCAAGCTTCTCATTGCCTCCTCTCCGCTTGCCCCAGTCCAGGGGATGGGTCGGGGATGAGTCGCGACGTTCTCTTGGACCAGGGAGTGTAGATGCAGGGTCACCTCAAGTACCTTCATCCTCGGAAAAGAGAGATCCTAACCCTATTCCTTTCTAGCCCATCAGGCTTTTCTCCTTTTGGACCCCAGCTCCCGGGACCCGGACTTCGCGTTTTCCCTCCCTCTCCTCCTCTCTCCCCGGAAAACCCCCCAACTCCAGACGCAAGTTAAGCAAATATTTGTAGCTGCCAGTAAATTCCAGCAGCTTTTTATAGCGCGGCTCTCTGCGCCCGGGGCCAAGTCGTGCTGCTAAATATTGCTGACCACTTTTTCTTTTATGGCTTTCATGTCACTTAGCTATTGAGAGTAAGATGGATTTGCGCGGAGCCCTCACGGCACTGCGATTCTCGCCCCCCAGGTCTGCGCGGTGCGGCCATTGGCGGCGGAGCGTCACGTGACCGCGGGGGCGTGCCAATGTGCGCCCTCACGGGTGTCAAGCCCCTGTCAGAGTGTGCGATCCAGATCTCGAAACTACGCGATGCAAAAAGCGACCTACTACGACAGCTCGGCGATCTACGGTGGCTACCCTTACCAGGCAGCCAACGGGTTCGCTTATAATGCCAACCAGCAGCCGTACCCCGCGTCCGCGGCCCTGGGCGCCGACGGCGAGTACCACCGACCGGCCTGCTCACTCCAGTCCCCCAGCGCGGGGGGGCATCCCAAGGCGCACGAGCTGAGCGAAGCGTGTCTGCGTACCCTGAGCGGCCCGCCCAGCCAACCCCCCAGCCTGGGCGAGCCGCCCCTGGCCCCTCCGCCGCCCCAGGCCGCTCCCCCCGCCCCGCAGCAGCCGCAGCCCCCGCCGCAGCCCCCCGCGCCCGCCGCGGCTGTGCCCCCGACTCCCTCCTCCGTGTCCCCACCTCAGAATGCCAGCAGCAACCCCGCCCCCGCCAGCGCCGCCAAGAGCCCCCTGCTCAACTCGCCCACCGTGGCCAAACAAATCTTCCCTTGGATGAAAGAGTCCCGGCAAAACACAAAGCAGAAAACCAGCGGCTCCAGCTCAGGTAAAGGGGTGCCTTCTGGAGGAGGGTCCCCTGACTGGGTGCCTGCCACCCCACCCCCCCTTCCAAGCCACAACAGTCAGCTCTGCAAGAGCCCCCGGATGTTCTCAAGAATCAGCTGTGTGCCTACACCCTTCTTTCCATAGAGCTTTCCAGACCTTTGCAGCTAGGGAAGTAGCAGTCTCTGTGTGCCCAGGAGCTCCTAGAGGGAGCTCCGAGGGGCGGGGGTCTCACTGGACCCCTTTCAGAGCAAGTGAGGCCTAGCTCATCTGGAACCTCTTATGTGGCACCCTGGAAGTTGGGATCTTTGAACAGAGCAAACCTGGACTCCACTCTTTTCCCACATAGCTCCTCACTTCTAAGCAAATAGTAGGCCCCGACAGCCCCTTAAAATATGGCAGCATAAAAACAGGCCTCATTATCCTCCAAGTCATAATCAGTGCTTTGCCTATCACCAGAGCCCACTTTGAATCTCTGCTCCAGCAGATGGAGTGACCCACCCACCTTGCCTCTGGGAAGGTCCTACTCAGACTTAGAGCCAGGAAGAGCACCTGGGGCCTCCTGGGGGAAGGGAAGTGAACTTGTCATCTTAATAGGAACCACATGGGCCTCTGGAACTGGGCTCTTGGGGAGAAGCACCAGGCACTCAGCAGTTTCACAGTCTGCCTATATTGGCCTTGGCCTTCTTCAAGTGTTCTAGGGTTCTGCTCTGAGCCTGGGTTATCCAGCACTCCAAGGAGCCAGGATTTGGGGGGCCAGAGTGACCAGAAGGGTACAAGACTGGTGACCAAAGCTGGGGCAGGCTGCACCATGACCTGGAGAACTTTCGTCAACAGGCCCTGGCATCACACATGATTGGCCTGATCCCCCATCCGGCACCATGGCTATTTTCAAGGGGTTCTGTTTCTTTGGGCAGAAAAGGCCTTAGAGACTGGGGCTTCTGTCTCTCATCTCTCAAGGGCAGAATAAATAAATGGCCAATAGGGGCAATTGCCCAGTTCTCCAGTGATGAGCAAAGGACTTCTTGAGTATCTTGTCAGCTGCCCACAGCTCAGCTTCTGGAAAGGGAGTGAGGTGTCCACCAGGAGCTGGTAGACTGGGACACCTCAAGGGCTGGGAACTGAGTGCCAAAGGACAGGAAATATAAAGCAGGAAGGCCAGCTGGCTGAGGACTCTACTCTTCTGCCAGGACCCCAATAGAGAAGCCTGACTGAATTTCAGGGACTCGGTAAGAGCTCTCTCCCCACTGTTACAGCAGGCAGGCTTACCGCCTCCACCTCCTCCACTGGGCCAGCCCAGATTCTCTGGGGCCTACAGGAAGGAGGGGCCTGGCAGGGGTCGGGGCTGGGCGGGGCTGGGGCGCTCCTTGACGCCTCTCTTCCTCTCTCTGTGCCTGTAGGGGAGAGCTGCGCGGGCGACAAGAGCCCTCCGGGGCAGGCGTCGTCCAAGCGGGCGCGCACGGCCTACACGAGCGCGCAGCTGGTGGAGCTGGAGAAGGAGTTCCACTTCAACCGCTACCTGTGCCGGCCGCGCCGTGTGGAGATGGCCAACCTGCTGAACCTGACCGAGCGCCAGATCAAGATCTGGTTCCAGAACCGCCGCATGAAGTACAAGAAGGATCAGAAGGGCAAGGGCGTGCTGACGTCGTCGGGGGGCCAGTCCCCGAGTCGCAGCCCCGTGCCCTCCGGCGCGGGCGGCTATCTGAACTCCATGCATTCTCTGGTCAACAGCGTCCCCTATGAGCCCCAGTCGCCCCCACCTTTCTCCAAGCCTCCCCAGGGCGCCTACGGGCTGCCTCCAGCCTCTTACCCAGCACCCCTGCCCAGCTGCGCGCCCCCGCCGCCCCCGCAGAAGCGCTACGCGGCTGCGGGCGCGGGCGCCGGGGGCACACCCGACTACGACCCGCACGCGCACGGCCTGCAGGGCAACGGCAGCTATGGGACCCCACACTTACAGGGAAGCCCCGTCTTCGTGGGGGGCAGCTATGTGGAGCCCATGAGCAACTCTGGGCCGGCCCTCTTTGGCTTAACGCATCTCCCGCACGCCGCCTCGGCCGCCATGGACTACGGGGGTGCAGGCCCGCTGGGCAGCGGCCACCATCACGGGCCTGGGCCGGGGGAGCCGCACCCCACTTACACGGACCTTACCGCCCACCATCCTTCTCAGGGAAGAATTCAGGAAGCCCCCAAACTCACCCACCTGTGATGGTGGGCTCGGGGCTGCGCGCCAGGAGAGTGCCCCCCACCCCCACCCTTTCTCCTTCTCTGCTTGTTTTTGTTTTGTTCTGTTTAAGGTTCCTCCAGCCCCTCCCTTTTCTCTATTCTCCAGACCCCCTTGAGCCCTCCCCCCACCCCCGTTCCCGTTTTGTTTTCTTTGGTAACGCTTTTTTTTTTTTAATAGTTTATGTGACGTAGCAATCTTGGTTGCTGGAATGGCTGTCAGTATCTGTAGCGATATTTATCTCCTCCCGCCCCTCGCTGGGCCCCGCTGGGCCTGCACCCTTTTACCTTTCTACTCTTTGATCAGAAACAGGGTATATGAACAAATTTTCTAGCCGAGTTCTTCAATGTGAATTTGTTCGTACGTTATGGCTCCCGAGGGGAAGCGATTTTTTTTTAACTTTTAGTTTTTTTTTTTAATTGCACTTCTTGTAAAGAGCGAGAAAAAAATCAAAGGCGCTTTGAAACAGGGGTTCCCTGTGCAAGGATGACTAAGTGTACGTCTTTCCGTGTGTGTATGCTGGTGAACAGTCAGATTTATTTATATTTTTTGCAAGCATTGAGTAATCTAAGTTTTAAATATTATTTATCCCCATCCGTTCGTATTTATATTAAAGAAATTCTGTACCCTGATATTGTTCAGAAGGTTTCTTGGGCCTTTTGTTCAATGGTGTATTGGCGTACATAGAAAAAATTTATTTGAAAGGGAAGTATAATTCCTTTATAAAAAACGGTAATGATGCAATAATACCAGAGAGGATCCCGCTTTTGATTTAGGTTTGTGACATCCGGCGTGACCGAAAAAAAAACCTGTAAAGGCGAAAAAAATATGCTAGATTTGTTTTGAGAGTTCTACATTCCTTGCTGCTCACATTCTGAGAAACAAAACAAAAAAAATAATAAAGTTTTTATTCTGAATAATATCCGCGTGTAGAAGGGGTTCTTTGGCCGAAGATGGGGCGTGCAGATCCCGCGGTGGCGAACGGGCCGCGCAGGCCGCGGCGGCGCTCCGGCTCTGCTGCAGGGCCTGGCCGGGCACACCGAGAGCGAGCGCGGCGAGGTCTGGGCAAGCGACCGAGCCCGGGGCGGCAACGCTCTGCAAACACCGAGCTGCCAGCCCGCGGCGCGGCCTGGCTCCCAGCTGCCACGGGAGCCAGCCACTAGCGCGGCGCCCAGGCCCGGGCAAACAAAGGCCGCGGTGCCCCGGCGCGGCGGGGGGCGTCCAGGTGCTCGGGCGGTCCCCCACCCCCGATGGATCGGGCCAATCGGCCGCCTCGTCCACCATCTTCTTCGGGTCAAAGCCGAGCAGGGGACCCGGCAGCCGGGCAGACGACAGTGGACACTTCCTAGCAGCAACTGGATTCCGCCAAGGCTTCGCTGGCCCTCTAAAGAATCACTCCTCAAACCGCCCCAGCCGAGCACGACCGCGCGAAGCACACTGAGGCCCAACCCAGGTCTGCAGCCACGGAAGGGCTGAGCTCCGAGGGCTTTCCGGAGCCCTTCCCAGGACTGCTGGAGCTTCAGCGCCGGATTCGTCCCGGACTTTAGGATCTGGCATTCGCAGGATTTATTTCCTCGCCTTCTTCCCTCCCCGCTTTCCTTTTATGGCCGGGGTGGAGGGGGGGAGGGATAGGAGATTGGTATCTTTCTAATAAAACCCGCACTTTTATAAGTACCTCTTTCATTTGATAACTACAGAAGCTGAGCATTCCCGTGCTCCTCCCGGATTTAGAAGATAGGGTTGCCTGCAGACTGGCTGGCAGAGGCAAAGGCAGGCACAGGAAGGGAAAATATTTTCCTCTTCACATTCAAAAATTGCTCAGAGAAGGAGCCAAAACCCAAAAGTGGCAAATCTTAGAACAACGGCCTCCCCAAGAGCATCCCTCCACAAGAGCTGGAAGTGAGGAACCACCTGCATCTGAGGATCTGGAGGAGCATCTGAAGTGAGAGAAATAAATCCCCTTCTCCCTGGCCTGGATCTCTGGAGGCAGAGGTGAAAAATGTCGCCATTTTGTCTGCAATCCAAAAAATACATCATCATGGCCTCTCTCTTCCCCCCTGAGAAGCTTCTCAGGTGATCTTCAGAAATGGCACTGCAGCCATTGCTGGGTACCTGCTGGTTGCACTGGAACTGCTTTTAGGAAACCTGCTCATGGTTTAAGAAAAAGAAAAAGCTTTCAAAGTGCAAAAAGCCCAGACTGCTGTAGAGACCTGGGTGTTTCTTTCACCCAGAATTAGAGGTGCTTCCCCCACATCTATCCGCAGAGCCTGAAGTCTAATATATCTCCTTTGCAGAAGTCTGAACTGTGGAAGAAGTAGCGGTGCACCCCAATCCCACCCCAATCTCCTTGCCTAGATATGGCACATGTCAGACATGCAAAGACCCAGACTCCCAGTCTTTGTCAGAACTGGTGCTTCCGCTCTTGGGGCTGTCCATCTCTGAAACTGATTGCGCTGAGCAGACAGAGAAGTCTTCTGTTCAGCAGTCATCTGAAAGAAGTCTGTAAAATTACCTGGGAAAATAAGGACCACTGGAAGAGAGGAGCAGGGGGAGGGAGGCAGAAAGAAGAGAGATCCAGCCTGCGAGCTACATCTCTCAGGGATGCCCCACCTCGCCATCCCTGAAATCTGTTCTTCAGCTGGAGGCTGCCTCCTTTCCCCACCGCAGAAATTTGAAAATGAGATGCCAATAGGATCCCCCACATCTCGTCAGTTCAAACATTTCATTTTGGATGTCAAAGGAAAATAACTGTTCTCACCCCCCCCCCAGCCCCAGTTTTTGAAATATTAAAAGGAACTTCTCTTATTAAAATATCTCCTGAGTTAAACAAATCGATCTGGGGGAAGAGTTCAGCATTGAATGGTCCAAGAAAAAGGGTTTCTTCCAGATGGTATTTGAATTAAGGCCGCTGAGGCGGGCAGAAATCTCTCACCCACGCAACCCCTGACAAAGCCTCAAAGATATGGGGCCACCTTTTCTCTCTTCCAGTACCCCCCTCCTTTTACACCCTCCATATTTTCTGTTTAAAGCAAATGTCCCCATCCCAGACTCAAAAATCACCTTCCCCCAAAGCAACCTTCTAACTCTTTTCACTGCCAAAAAAATAGCTTTTAAAAAAGACTAGTTTTCCTTGTTTACTTGCGTTTCCTGCTCTCCTCTTTGCTCAGCCACATTTGATCTCGGAAAGAGCTCGAAGCTGAAATGTGTTCTTAAGGGCCAGAAGCTGTCAAGGCTTTTGGTGAGCAAGATTGATCACACCCAGACTTCCTTCAGAGCTTTGTTTAGAATAAACGCAAGAAAACTGAAAAACCTCACATTTTCCAAAATAGCATCTCTATCTTTAAGGGGATGCTCTGGGTGAGTTCTCAGCTGAGGTCAATTTCTATTTAATTTCTAACCTAAGCCCCCTTGGATGCTGGCCTCAGAGATGCAGTCCCTACCATTGCTTCTTGCTCAGCCTTTCTTGTTTTCTACAGGGATTTTTTTCTCACCCCTCAACCTCTTCTCTCTCTCTCTGGCCATCAGAATGATTTATTTTCCTGTCCACCCCTGATGCCTGCCGGCCTGGGAGAATCTGAGCACTGTCCATTTCAAAGGAAGCAAAAAGCAAATCACCATCCTCAGGGTTTGAGGGGAAAAGAGGTATCTTGAGATTTTCCCCTCAGCTTCCTTCCCTTCATTCTGGCTTTTTGGTGGATCTTTCCAAAGTTACTGTTTGATGCCTAAAGATGTTATATTTTTGAGTCCTCCAGCACAGAACGAGAGATGTCCAGAGGCTCCAGTTTCCAAATTGGAAAGGAGGGAGAGAGAGAGAGTGTGAACAGAGAAAAAGAGCCTTTATCATTCCTCCTTGGGTTGTCCTCTCTCACCTGCCCTGCGGTTGCCCACAACAAAACCCGGTGAGAGCATCCCTGCTGGCCCAGGAGTGGAAAAGGTGCAAAGCGGCAGGTGGGGCTACCTCTCATCCAGCCATCCCCTCCCCTTCTGCCAGAGCAACAAGGAAGACGCAAAGAAGGAGAGGAAAAATAACGAGAAAGAAAACGGAAAGAAAAGGAAAAAAAAAAAAGAGGAGTAACCAGCATCATTTCCCTCCCTGCTGCTCACTTCCAACCGACTTCCTGGAAATACGAAATACTCACCGCACCCAAGCCTCTGGGTATGAAACCCAGAATGCCAGGAGCCGCAGGCGCCTGCTCGGGGCGGCATTTCTCTGGCTGGCCGCCGCCCTGGCTACAGGGGTTTGGACACAGGGACCGGGGGCTGTTGTCTCTTTTGGCACACGCATCTATCTTTCGCGAGCCACTCCTGAAAAGTTGATGGAGCAGGAAGGTCGGGAAGCTTCGAGAGCCGCCTCCCGTTTTCCGCTTCCCGCCGGAGCCACATCCCTAAGCTGCCGTGGAAAAGCTGGCTAACAATGGGCCGGGGCTGGGGCGCCGGCTCTGGGCTAGGCTTTGGGAGGGGGGCCCCGGAGGCTGCTGGAAGGTGGGGGGGGGGGGGAGGAGAAGCGGATAGAGGAGGCAGAGGGAGGGGGAGAGAGGAGAAGGGGAGAAAAGGAGGAAAAGAGGGCAAGACTGGCAGGCCGGGATGTAAGAAAAGAGACTGAGATCAGTTCTGAGATTCAGAAAGTGGCTTTAGAAAAGACGGAGGAGGAAAAGGAAATAAAAGAAGGGACCCCCCAATCCTCTCTCTCTCTTTCTCTCTCTCTCTCTCTCTCTCTCTCTCTCTCTCTCTCTCTCTCTCTCTCCTCCCCTCTCCCTCTGCTCCTTCCTCCAGCCTTAGCAGAACTTATGTGGCTGCGATGCGGGGGCCCCTCGGGTGTCAAAACTTTGAAGATTAATGGATTACTTTGTTAATGACTGCAGGCGTCAGACTGAGGTGCTTAAATGATTTGTGAGGTGTGAGGCGTCTTCCCGACAGTCCCAAACAATGCGCGGAGTGTGCGGGGGAGGCCGAGGGCAGGGGCGCGGGGCGGCGGCGGGGCGCACACACGCA